AGCAGAGAAACGTGTAAAACCTGCAGGATGGTGGCCCTCCTGGACCACTGCTCGTGCTTTGGTCATTTCTTACCGGAGTGTTCTGTCTCTGCAGGGCGGTGGATGCCGGTTCCTGCGCTACGACTGCTCCATCCAGGCCCCCCGCCGAGGCTGGGCCCTCATGCACCCGGGCCGCCTCACCCACTACCACGAAGGCCTGCCGACCACGGCCGGGGTCCGCTACATCGCAGTGTCCTTCGTGGATCCTTGAACGCTGTCCTGAAACATGGAGGTGTTCTGAACCAAAGAGGAAACGCGTCTGTCTCTGTTCTGTCGGCCGAAGCGTCACACTGGGTCTTCATCAACTGTGCTTTATTATATTTTACTGACAAATCAGGAGGACTTTATCCAAACGTCAGTTCTGGTCCAGAAACGTTTCTTAAATTGACAAAGAACATTTCCTCCAAAATGAAAGAAGTCGGTCTTTACAGAAGTTCTTAGCCGTTAAAACGTGTTTTAGTAAATTGGAGAAGTTGGAGCTGGGACTGGGTCCAGTTAACGAGCTAACGAGCTCCAGAACACTCAACAGAAACTCAGCGCATCCATTTCAAGATCCTCCTCACATTCAAAGCCCTTCATAATGTGGCCCCTCCATACCCGGCCCACCCACTCCGTCACTACGCTCCTCGTCCCTCCGAGGCCCCCTCTCCCCCTGTAGGACCAAGCTGCGAGCCTGGGGAGGCGGAGCCTTCTCCATCTCTGCCCCACAGCTTCGTGTCTCCCATCTCCACTTTTAAGAAAGAACTCAAAACCCACCTGTTTAAAGTTGCTTTTAATGTTTAAATTTGCCCTTTTTTAAATGTTTTACAGTTTTTATGTGCTATGCATTGTTGATTTTATTCTTTTTTTAACTCATGTAAAGCGTCTTTTAGTGTTTAGAAAAGCGCTATACAAATAAAATATATTATTATTATTTATTATTACAGTCGGACTCGTTTTAATAATTTCCCTGCTGCTGTTCGAACTCGTTAACTGGACCTCAGGACGTCATTCCCAGCTCCTCCAACTTTTGACATATTAAAATGTTTTAACCGAGCAGGTGCATCATGGGAAATGTATGCTATGACTTGAGAGTTGTAATCATGGATTTCTCCAAAGCTTTTTCCTCTTGGTGCCATTTTTTTAGCGTTTTGGTCTAAACTTTTTCTTCCCGTTCAGCCTCCGCTGCAGCCTTCACACTAAAACCTGATCCTGAAGTATCAGTTCTGTTTGGAGCACGTGGATCAGAGGTCACCTCTCAGGAGGCCATCAAAGTTTGGTTTCCTTCTAGATTTAACTGTTAATGTAAAATTTTAGAATCACTCATTTGTCCTGTATCTGAAGAGACGTCGGACTGAGACAGTTTTATGTGTTGAATAAAATCCAGACTTCCCGGTTTTGTTTTCTTGGAGATTTGTTTCCTTCCAGCAGGATGGACCTCAAACCAGCAGTATGGTCCTCAACCAGCAGGATGGTCCTCAACCAGCAGGATGGACCTCAAACCAGCAGGATGTTCCTGAAGCAGCAGGATGGACCTCAACCAGCAGGATGTTCCTGAAGCAGCAGGATGGACCTCAACCTGCAGGATGGACCTCAACCAGCAGTATGGTCCTCAAGCAGCAGGGTGTTCCTGAAGCAGCAGGATGGTCTTCAAACCAGCAGGATGGACCTCAAACCAGCAGGATGGTCTTCAAACCAGCAGGATGGACCTCAAACCAGCAGGATGGACTTCAAACCAGCAGGATGGACCTCAAGCAGGAAACTAATCAAGTTTTGAACTGAACATTCTGGGAAAAGATCAAACAGCTGGAAGGCATCTTCAGGTGTTTTTTTTTAACTATTCCAGAATCATATTTTCAAAATTTGTTACTTCTTGAATACAGATGTTGAAATTTAGATTTCACTCTTATTAGCCAGACCTGGTCTGGTTCAAACCGAGCCGGTCTCAGGAGGCCTTATCCAAAATAACTAATGATTAAAGCTACAAAATAAAAACAGAAAATTAAAACCTGTGGAAGACCAGCGATCAGAGTCCAAACTAGAAACTTCTTGTTTTGAGAACAGAATCCAACCGGGCTGAGTCTGGTCCTGTGGACGGATTCTTCCTGAAACGTTTCGTCTTTTATCCAAAAGACTTCTTCAGTCTGAGGAGCTGAAACGAACACGAGAACAACCTCTGGAAACATCAAGTTTTTTCAGTGTTTATTGGGGTAACAAACAAAAAATGATCAGTTTTAAACAAAAATGTATTAGTTTTAATGTCGGTCTATTTTTAATGCCATGAGATCGACGGATTGGCACCTTTACTCAGCACATCTGACACTTAGGGTCCAAATACAATCATTTAGAAGCTACAGCACCAAGTTAATTTCTTATCTGGCAACCTGACTGACATGAAAACTAGGCTGATGGTCCTCCATCACGTCAACAGCTGGATCTGGATGTCCACATCAAACTGGTTGATCCACCATGAGAAGGTGCTGTTGACAAGTTTCAGCAAAAACTGTCCAGAGGACCCGACTCTACGTTGCTACATTAATCTACCTGGATTACTGAGCATGGATCGAGATTAGATTAAATTAAAATTACAAACCGGATTCCAAAAAAGTTGGGACACTAAACAAATTGTGAATAAAAACTGAATGCAATGATGTGGAGATGGCAAATGTCAATATTTTATTCGTAATATAACATAGATGACAGATCAAAAGTTTAATCTGAGTAAATGTAACATTTTAAAGGAAAAATATGCTGATTCAAAATTTCAGTGTCAACAAATCCCAAAAAAGTTGGGACAAGTAGCAATAAGTGGCTGGAAAAAGGAAATTGAGCATATAACGAACAGCTGGAAGACCAATTAACACTAATTAGTTCAATTGACAACATGATTGGTATAAAAAGAGCTTCTCAGAGTGTCAGTGTCTCTCAGAAGCCAAGATGGTAAGAGGATCACCAATTCCACCATTGTTGCACAGAAAGATAGTGCAGCAATACCAGAACGGTGTTACCCAGCGTAAAATAGCAAAGACTTTTAAGTTATCATCATCAACCGTGCATAACATCATCAAAAGATTCAGAGAATCTGGAACAATCGCTGTGCGTAAGGGTCAAGGCTGTAAAACTCTACTGGATGCTCGTGATCTCCGGGCCCTTAAACGTCACTGCACCTCAAACAGGAATGCCACTGTCAAGGAAATAACAGAATGGGCTCAGGAATACTTCCAGAAAGCATTGTCAGTGAACACAATCCACCGTGCCATCCGCCGTTGCCAGCTGAAACTCTACAGTGCAAAGAGGAAGCCATTTCTAAGCAAGCTCCACAAGCTCAGACGTTTGCACTGGGCCAGGGGTCATTTAAAATGGAGTGTGGCAAAATGGAAGACTGTTCTGTGGTCAGATGAGTCACGATTTGAAGTTCTTTATGGAACACTGGGACGCCATGTCATCCGGACCAGAGAGGACAAGGATAGCCCAAGTTGTTATCAACGCTCCGTTCAGAAGCCTGCATCACTGATGGTATGGGGTTGCATGAGCGCTTGTGGCATGGGCAGCTTGCATGTCTGGAAAGGCACCATTAATGCAGAGAACTATGTTCAGGTTCTAGAACAACATGTGCTCCCATCTAGACGTCATCTCTTTCAGGGAAGACCCTGCATTTTTCAACACGATAATGCCAGACCACATTCTGCAGCAATCACAACATCATGGCTACGTAGGAGAAGGATCCGGGTACTGAAATGGCCAGCCTGCAGTCCAGATCTTTCACCTATAGAGAACTTTTGGTGCATCATAAAGAGGAAGGTGCGACAAAGAAGGCCCAAGACGATTGAACAGTTAGAGGCCTGTATTAGACATGAATGGGAGAGCATTCCTATTTCTAAACTGGAGAAACTGGTCTCCTCTGTCCCCAGACGTCTGTTGAGTGTTGGAAGAAGAAGGGGGGATGCCACACAGTGGTAAAAATGGACTTGTCCCAACTTTTTTGGGATTTGTTGACGCCATGAAATTTGGAAACGACAGATTTTTCCCTTAAAATGAAACATTCTCTCAGTTTAAACTTTTGATCTGTGGTTTGTGTTCCATTCTGAATAAAATATTAGATGTTGGCACCTCCACATCATTGCATTCACTTTTTATTCACAATTTGTTTAGTGTCCCAACTTTTTTGGAATCCGGTTTGTAGCTCATTTACCGATAATATCTTGAGTGCATGAGACCTCCGAATGTTTCGGTTCATTTAATATAAAAATAAATCCTATTTAAAGCTTAATTTTTAATTAATGTTTTTGGATGTCTGCACCTCATCTGTACATTTTTATATTAAACTTTTTTGTCTCATTGAGAAACACGTCTGAGCTAAAATTTTGAGTTCTTTAAATTTTCACTGATTCAGTTAAAAAAAAACAAATGACGCTGCTGAACGAGCACAAAGGTCCAAACTAAAACGTTGTTTCTTCGTTTTGTCACAATAAACCAAAATCTTAAGAAAATGTTTTAGAAAACTTTTATTGTGACGGGACCTCAGTGGAACACTAATAACAGGACTTCCTGTTCAGCTGGAGTAAACCATCGAACCGAGCCCGATGAGGAAGTGAAGGAGAAGATGGAGGTCAGAACATCATGAGCTCCAAGAGCTGCGTCACCGTTGGCTCCGTCAGTTCGGACCATAAACGGGTGAAGATCACCAGGACCCACCACCCTGGAGTCCACAGGAAGTGCAGCGGGGCCCGAGGGTGGTGTTCATGTTTTCATCTGGTGGTGAAGTCACATGAAGCGTTGTGGAGAGAAGAAGAACGTTGTGGAGAGAAGAAGAACGTGGTGGAGAGAAGAAGAACGTTGTGGAGAGAAGAAGAACGTTGTGGACAGAAGAAGAACGTGGTGGAGAGAAGAAGAACGTGGTGGAGAGAAGAAGAACGTGGTGGAGAGAAGAAGAACGTTGAGGACAGAAGAACGTTGAGGGAAACATTTCAAGTTAAATCCACCGAGACTTGTTTATTATCCAAGAGTTAAAAAGAATAAAAAGAAAAAACATAAAAAGTTAAAAAACGTTAAAAGTATCTTCAGTAGTGAAGTTTCGGCTCCGCCTACAGGCGGAAGCGTTCGGAGAAGTTGGGCGACTCGGGGACGGTCAGAGGCCGCTCGCTCTTCTTCACCACCACAGGTCGGTACTGCCGGATGGGCTGGGCCTTGTGGACCTGAGGACCAGAACAAGACCCGGTCAGAGCGCAGACAACTGACTGCTCCAGAATCAGACGTCCATTTGAGGCAGAAAAACCACAAACCGTCTAGAGGAGGGTGTGGCTTGTTGTGGGCGGAGCTACTTTAATACACCAACATTAATCTAATTTAACAACCGACCGTTGGTCCACAGAACAGACCCGGGACCAGCAGTCCATGGGAGTTGGGTCACCTGTTCTTGGCGCAGCCTGGTGATCTCCTCCTTCTCCCTCTGCTCCTCCTCCTGCCTCTGATGCTCCTCCATTTGGGCCCTCAGAGCCTTCTTCTCGGCGTTCTGCTGCTCGTACTCCTGCCACTCCTTGGCGCGGCGCTCCGTGGCCAGCTCGAAGGGCTCCACCACTGCAGAAGAATTAATGTCTTCTCAGGACGGCCGGGGAGGACAAGACAACAAGGACAAGGTGAGACACGAGACGTCGAGGAGCGCCGCAGCCTCGGAGCAAAGCTGCGGCGCTCCTCAGGACAGCTGATGTGTCGGCAGTGGAACCGCCAGATACTGAAGTCCCTCGTTTATCGCGGGGGAGCCGAACCCTGAAGCCTCGTGTTTAAACTTCACCCTCCTGCAATATTTAAACTACGTCTCTAAACTCAGCGCTCTACAAGAACACAGCCTGTCATGATCTCCGCCCCCTGCCACCAGCGCTCTTGGCCACGCCCACTTCTCTGCAGCAGGTGCTAATTTAAGACCATTTTAAATAAAACTCGGTGCCGATCGTGCGACTCGTCCATCAGTCAGCCAGTTGTGCGTCATGTCCAATCTTATTCTGAAAAACTGCGAAAGAGCGAGGGACTACTGGACCCGGTGGTCCAGAACTCAGCTGCAGGAACAGAACGCAGACCAGCGCCCACCGACAGAACTGACAACAAACGATTGAAGTTCTGTTCGGTCTCATGAACCGGTCCGGTCCAGTCAGCTGATCAGAACAACGTAACGTTCAGCAGCCGGAGCCGACAGAACCAAGTGTCAGAAACTTTTAGAGGCTTTCATAATTTAAATGTGTGGAGACAGAGGTCCAATAAGAATGTGGGACCTGCAGATGGTTCTGTTGGTGTGAGGGAACAGACCCAACAGAACCTTGGTCCAGTCGCATGTCTGAATGTCTTCAGTCCGTTTTCAAACCTTTAGGAAGAATTTGGCGGTTCTGTGATTCAAAGCCCACCTCAGTTCAGAGTCTGATCTAATTTAACGAGAAGTTCTGTTTGACCCGGTTGGGTCAGACAGTTGGTCTTACCCAAGGTTTGTCGGCTCTCCTTCTGGGGTCGGAACGGTTCTTTGTGTGTGACCGTGTTGGACCGGGCTTTGAACACCGCCGCCTCCTCCAGGAGTTTCTGCTCCTTTTGGACCTGCGGGACAGAGTCCACGGGTCAGAACACAGACCCATCACTCTGAGCTGCCCTGACCAGAATCGATGCGGTACCATCTCCTCCCAGCGGCTGTTCTTCAGCGCTCCTCGCTCATCGATGAGGAGTTTGAACGGTTCTGGTTTGGTCGGGTCCAGCTTCTTCTTCTCGGGGAGGACCACGGTGCTGAAGTCCGGCAGCAGCTGGGCCTTGAACTGCGGCACCTGCAGAGGACAGAGGGTGAACATCTGGACACGGAGGCGGTGCTGGTTCTGGGTGAACGGAGCTGCACCTCCTCGTTCCTCAGCTCCTCCAGCTTCTTCTCCTTCAGAGCTCGGCGTTCCTTCTCCCTCTGCTCGAAGCTGAAGGGGCAGACCTCGATCTGGTGGTCCTCTGGGAGCCGCGGCTGGAAGGTGAGGCCGAAGTGAGGAACGGGCTGAACTTTGACCGGCGGGGGCGGCAGAACCTGGACACACCAAGAACAACACTCCTGAAGGAACTGACGGACGTTTTAGAAACATCTGACAGAACTTCGTGTTCGCTCTCGCCGACACTTCAACTTCAGCTCAACGTGAAAAAAAAAAGAGTTGATTTTAAACTATGGCGGCCATCTTGGATTCAGTCTGTTCAGGATCGTTCTCGGCTACAAGTTCAACGCATTTCAGCTGAAGAGCTCAACAAACAGACGAGTAATATCCATTTGAAATTAGCTTTGGCGGCCATCTTGCACGTTTAGATTTGAATTCAGAACGTGTCGCCGTCAGATGCCGCTGTAACAAATCGCAGCTCATCTTTTAAACTAGCCGAGCCATCATGGTTTCCCCTTTAGCTAAGGCGGCCATCTTGGCTTTAATTTGCATCAGCACAATAACTCTGAGCAACAATCGTATTAAGTTTCAGCTCAATACCTCAAAGAACGACCGAGTCAGTCAATTTTGAGTTTTCTGTGGCAGCCATCTTGAACCAAAATGGCTCCAAAAGTTGATCAGTTTTGTTCAGGGACCCCTCCCCTCAGGTCATGTGACCTCACCGTGGCAGACGAGGACCAAACTGGACCAGGAGGAACCTCTCACCTCCTCAACCTTCCGCTCTGGTCGGATCCTCCTCTTGAGGGCAAACGCCGGAGACTCCGGTACTGTCGGTAAAGGAACCTTCTTCTCAGGTAGTCCCTGCCAGCAGGAGGAGACGTTAAAGCTCCAACACCTGTAAAGGTCAGTCAGTCTGCTTCCTGTTGGGGACACTCACCACCACCCCCTCCAGGACCTTCAGGGGCAGAGGGTTCGCTCTGAAGCTGTGGGGCTTCTCCTCGACCTCCTGGGGCTTCTTGGACGCGTGTCTGTCCTGAAGACGTTTCTCTATTTCCAGCTCGAACCCTTGAGGGACGGTGGGCCCCTTCACCGCCGGCTTCTTGAGCTCCTCTGCACCCTCCAGGATCTTCCTGTTGAGCTCCAGAGCCTTGATCTTGCACCTGAACACAACACGAGCGCTTCAAGCAACCACCTGGAAAGTGACAACCGTGACGCTCGCCGAGTCTCACTTCTGAAGCTGCTCCAGCTCCTCGGCCTCCAGCTCGCTGCTGCTCTTCAAGGCGGCAGGTCTGCTCCTCTGACGGGTCTTCAGGCACGGAGACTGGGGCTGCGTGAGCTTCAGGTGGGGGCCTTTGACCGGAGACGGTCCTGACAGAGGAAGACGTTTTAAACATCAGCAGATGTGCAGAGGAAACAGCTAAACACCTCCAGCCCCACCTCTCTCCTGGTCTCTGCGGCTGGGCCGGTGGTACCGGGTGGGGGTCCTGTTCTGGAACTGTTCAATCCTCTGAGCCATGGGAACATAGTCCTCGGGCTCCTCCTCCTTCTTGTTGTGACCCACTGAGAAGCTGAACGGTTTGGGAACCGTGGCTCCTTTTCGAGCTTTCACCTAAAAAACAAACAAAAACAAAGTCGTGTTCTTGGACCAGACGAACGGTTCAGGAAGTCTTCTGCTCAACCTGGACCAGGACGGTTCTTACAGGGGAGGAGGGTTTTCTGAGCTGCTGAACGAAGTCGGTTTCTTTGCACGGCGCGTCTGAAGAAGTGGAAGCTTTGATCCTGGAGTCCGTGTGGAAGTGGAAGTCTTTGGGCACCGTCGTGGACAGGACGGCCTTCTTTGGTGGAGGACCTGGAACAGAAACATTTCACAAGTCCAGAACGGTTCAGATCAAAGTGTTCATGGTGTTTCATGGATCAAGTCTTCGCTCACCGCCGGCCAGAGCAGCCCTGAGGCTGGCCTCGTTCCTCCTGCGGTGCAGAGCCACCTCCTTCTGGAGGTTTCTGATCCGCTCCAACTCCAGCTGCTCGGAGGAGTTCGGCCTGCTCACAGAAATGATCAGCATCAAAAAACAAGAAATCCAACTCTCTTCTCCAGGTTCATAAATGATACGAGACGTTCCGTCACCGAGGCCTCCGACCCAGTGGATCCTTTCAGATTTAAATTTGTGCCAAGAAAACCAAACTGATGTGGTTCGGTCATGGAGGAGGAACCAGACCCACCTCGGTGGACTTCACTGTAAACTGACATTTCAGAAGAGCTTATAAATTTAACAGTTTATAAATATTTGTGAACTTTGATTGATGGCGCTCCGTCCTCACATCGTGTTAATGTTTAAGTCTAAGGTTAAAGCCAGACCTGGTTCTCCAGGTAGAAACTGATCTTCTGGCTGCAAAACGCACCACTGATTAAAAACTAAAAATAATTCTACCTCTGTTGGATTATGGAAACAACGTATTTTTCGCCCTACAAGTTGCAGATTTTTGCATAATCTGCATGCCCTGCGACGTGTTTACAGATTTTTCCATATTTATGAACCAGTTTTTGTCTGAAATGACCGTTTGTTCATTCTGACTGAAAATACTGAACACCATTATTTTCAGTCGTTAGATGGTACTAGAGGTGTATGGCATGCCGTTGTGTCATGCAATATGCAAAAGTGGCTATTAATGACACAATCAGCTTGCCACAGGAGCCACCTTCATTCGTGTTAATCTTGTTAAATTCTTGTTAAAGTTCTCCCGTGCACGCTCCCGCAGCCGCCATCTGGCAGCCCATTGATTTTTGGCACAACTTCGGCCCACAGGTAGTCGGCGGTGATGCAATGCATTTATGGATTTTTCCACTTTATTAGACACGTCTGGACTCGTGTGATGTGTACGGTGGAAAACACTGTAATTTACAGACACTTGTGAGGTTGTCCTTCGTAAGCTGGACACAACTCATCATTATTGGCTTTGCTCTAGATGCTCCTTGTAGAACATCACGGTCACCTCCACTCTTGTTCAATGGCTTCTCTACTCGTCGTGAAATTTCTTGGTTCACCCTCATTTACAAGACGTCGCTCGTTATTCAGCTCCATATCTAACTCGTCTACTGCAACTAGCACCGGTTTACAAGTAGAACAGCTGATCCTCTCAGTGTTTGTGGTTAACAAGTAAAGACCAAGTCTGGTTCTGCTGCTCCATGTGACTGGAACCTGCTTTAACAAACTTTGGCTCTGACCTCACTGGGCTCAGTTTCTAGTTTTAAAAATTGTTTTAAAGCCATTTTTAAAGATACTTGCTGATAAAGATACTAATGTCATTTATGAACTGTTAATGTAATTAGATTTCCTTTTTTGTTATCGACTCCTGTATTTTATTCTGTTTCTCTTGACCCTACAAGAACCCGTTGGTGCAGTCAGGCCGGCTCTGAACAAGAATCTGCTCTTCGTGTTAATGCCGGTTAAATAAAGATGAAAAATGTTTGATTTGAAGGAGGACTGTGGGGGGTGGGGGCTTCATTTATTAACTTTCATACAAAACGTGGAACTCTGAAGTGTTCTTTGCTCAGATTCAGGCGGAAGTTTGAAAAACAAACCGTTTGTTAATAAAATGTAAATGGTTTCCTGCCAACAACTGAATCGACACCGGACTAATTTTAACTCTTTCAACCCTCCAGAGTAAAAAACGCAGCAGCAGAGTCACGGAACAGAACTGAAGCAGCACCGGTCAAAACTCACTCTGTGTTTTTGCTGCTGGAATGGACTTCACGGGTCTTTGGGGCCACCTTGGGCTTCAGCCGCTTGCTCCTACGGAAACTGGACTGGGAGCTCAGAGGAACCGGGTCCCTACAGCAGACAGGGATGTTAAGACAACCGGCAGCCAAAAGATGATTCTGGTTGATTTTCACGTTGGATGAAGAGCACGGGACGTGCCGACTTACTCTTTTTGTTTCTTAGAGGGAAGTGGAATTGGATTGCTGTCCATCTCTTTACGCTTTGAAACCCTGAAAAGAATCCGACGGATCAGACCCAGATCTTAAAGTCCAGTCCTCCATTTTTCAATAAGAGCTGCGGCTCGTACCTGCGTGGCTGTGCAGGGTTCTTGTCAGCAGTCCTCTTTGGTCGGCCCACTCCCTGAGGTTCACCTCCCCACGACGTGATGATGTTGGAAGATGTGGTGGAAACATTCTCAGCTGAAACAGCCCAGACACATTGGAATGAAAATAAAGTAGACGTTTCAAAGATTCTCAGTAAAGAGCGACTACAGGAGTTCCCACCTTTATCACCTTGCTGTGGTTTAGCAGGAGTGACGAGGTGAGGATCTGCCCCCTCGGTGCGTTGGTCTGAGTAAAGGAATCAAAACTTTATTTAGTTGGTTTAAAACTTTTAGTTTCAGGTTTCTTTAATTCTAATGGTTTCAGATTTTAGAGGACGTGCAGCAAATTATTCTGGAACCTTTAATCTCATTTTGGTCAAAAGTAAAAACCTTTAGTTGTGCACCATTTTTCTAGAGTTAACGAGAAAAGCTTTTTATCATATTCAAACCTCCGTCCTAAACTAAACCTGTTCTCGTCTGTGAGTTTGTGCTTTTATCTGTTAGTAAAATTTATCATGAACACTAATTGGGTAGCAAAGTTGTCAACATGTTCTCCGAGTACTAAAACATCTTAGGAGGTCTTACAATCCAAATCATTTACTTTTTATTTAAACAGGAAGTCTCATCGAGTCACAACGACTCATTTTCAAGAGACGCGTTTTAGACAGACAACGTATAAAAGTACAATTTACAACAAAAATAAAAGTACATCTAGTGCTATAAACAACAAAAACAAAGTGCCATATAAAAAAAAAAACCCTAGATAAAATACTAAAACAGTTTCCTCAGGGATCAATGAAGTTCTGTCTTATGTTAAAACATATTTGTTAAGATTCTTCTTGACCCCTTACAGAAATCAAGGTGTGCAGCTTCAGACCTTGTTGCAAAGTGTTCCAGGAGCAGAGCAGGAGAAGACCTTTCTGTCGAGTTCAGTTTGCACTGAGGGGACCCTGCGGGTAATGATGACCTGAGAGCGCACGCTGTAACTGCACTGACGACGTGACAGAATGACAAACATGCTCTAAATGTGTCAAACACTGGTGAGCCAATCCTAATTAAAATCGCCTACATTAACAATTCCTTTGAGGCGTAAATAAGATAAAAGCTGAATTAAGTAATTTGTGGGCGGCTGAGGGGTAAGATCAGTCGTCCTCCAACGCAAAAGTTGGGGGTTCAATTTCCACAAGCTGTCACATGCTGAAGTGTCCCTGAGCAAGACAGTGAACCCCTCATTAGCCATGTTTACAGTACACGCGCAAAATTCTTTGATCGGACTGAATTGTATTCGGATTAAATAATCCAAATGTATCGTTTACATGCAGCAGGCTTTTATTCTGAATAGAAGTACTGACATGCGCAGAGAGGTAAACTATCCTAAAAAAAAAAAAAAATGCAGATTAAGTGTTTACATGCACACGTTCGGATTATGAATCAGCATAAACCACCCCTCTCATTCAGATTCCAAATTCATTCGGATCGAGCTGAATCAGCTCAAAATAATCCGAATGGAGCGTTTACATGACACGTTTTTATTCTGAATGTCCATTTAATCCGATTACTTATGGCCACGTAAACATAGCTAGTGCCTCTGATGCGTGTCCCATCGGTGCACGAATGTGAAACTCAGATTATTCTTTGTTTAGGTATAGTGGAGTGCTGTATGAATGAGGGCAGATTGTGTTGTAAAGCACTTTTTAAGGACAATAGGGTTTCAGATGTGGCGGGGCTGGGGGGGGGGGTCTGTATCAACCAACAACTGGAAACTTTAGTGCCAAGACTTCAAACTGCTTAGGAGTTGATTTAGCAAAGAAAAAGAGCAAAAAATGTTTTTTATTGCCTGCAGACAAAACTAAATAGTGATAAAGACGTTACACAACTCGTAACTGTAATCACTGCTTGTGTTTCAGACTTAAAGTCGACCTCAGCGAACACAAAAATGACACGTTTGACCCAAGTTGACCCCAACTGTGAGGAAACGCTCGCACACAATGAAGTACATGTTGGCAACAACCACAAAATTTTAGCTGTGAAATTGTGTTTTAATGGTCAGTTGGATGTGGCAGCCATCTTGAATTCAGATGGCTGCCACAGTCCTTCAGTCACAGACGCACACAAATATATATTCCAAAATTTAAATCCCTGCAGAGGTTCCTGGGATGTTTCGCTAACAGACAAACAGGACTGACTCCAGCGTTTAATCCTGAAGAATAAAAGTCCTTAATCTGATGATGGCGGGAGACAACAGTGATTCATGAAATTAAAAATCATCCTTTAGCCATCTGCTTGCAGTTTTCAGCTTCTTTGTGCTAAAATATGTCTGGTAATGATCATTTCTCCTCCTTAGATATAGCAGATTAAACAGTTTCTGCAACTAGTCAATGACAAAATGTGCAAATGAAGCATTTCTGCAAACAAAGACTCAGAAAGACCCCCCTAAGCTGTGGGGACTGATCCTGGCCCTCAGGTTTGAGATGTCCATTCAATTTAAACTCATTTGAATCGCTTCTCTTTCACAAATCTAAATTTAATGACAGGGCTCAGACAAGCGTCATCAGACGTAAAAAGACGTCACTTCCTGTATGAAAACGCGTCTTTTCCTTAAATAAATTAGATGTTTTTCTTAAGTTTATCTCAGTTTAACAATCAGTGAGAGGTGAATGAGGGGAAAACAAACCTGCACAGCCTCGGATTAAGGTCGTTTAATTGAAACCTGTCAAAGGGACTTACCAAACCATTTATCGTCCGTTTCTGCGTTCACCAGCTCCATAAAATCTGCGACGTGGGTCGGAGCGTCGAAGTCGTAACGCTGTGAAGCTTCCGCCATGACCACCGGCTCCCTAATGCTTCTCCGAGTTACCTGAAAGGTAAATTTGATAGCGTATGAGAAACGGTGCAGGTTTACAGGAGAGCAACCCTCAGATCGAGCATCGAAGAAAACAACGGCTGAGCTAACGTTAGCATCTCTATCCGCGTTCGAAAACAAGAAATAAATCCCCCAAAGTGACCGCGAAAATGAGACCAACGGACATGTACTACTTCCGCTGGTAACGCGTAAAAAAATGTTCATACTCAAAGGTTTACTTGTCGAAAAATACAAACAATTAGATGAGACATACCGCAGGCGTCCTGTCTGACGGACACAGTGAAAAATACTAAACCGTCGCGCGGAGCCAAACATTTCCGTTCAAATCGCCTCTCTTTTAAAACAGCCAATGGACATCAAGCTTCACGCCTATTGGCTAAAGAACACCACGTGATACTTACCGAACTGCGCATGTGTAAAAAAAGAAAACTTAGGCTCGGCTTTTAAAAGTGAATTATTATAATACTGTAATATAATAATTATTAATTATATATAAACTTTGATACCTTGGATTCATTATTACATATGAGCACCAGTGATCCAAAATGGAAGAAGCGGGTAAAGCTGATGGATGGATGAACTTAACAGCCCTTACATACAACACACCTTCAAACCTTAACACTTTTTATAAAGCTGTTTTATAAAATACTGAATATGACTGTGCTGATGCATGATCAATAATCTAGGTTGAAAAATTTAGCAAGGTTAAGTCAGGTCCTCTGGACAGATTCCTGTTTCTTGAAACGTTTCGTCTTTTTATCGAAAAGACTTAGTCTGAGATAATGCAAAAAGCTCAGTCTTATAAATAGAGCCTTATCATACCTGAGCATCTTATGAATACATTTTCAGTCTTTCTCCCTCCTTAGATGCATTAATCTGTCCTCCAGCTGTAATGTTAAAAACCTTGGTGTTACTTTTGATCAGGACATGTCTTTTATCCTCCACATTAAAAACGTTACTAGAACCTCCTTCTTCCACCTGCGTAATATCACTAACATTAGAAACATCTGATCTAAACATGATGCAGAAGAACTGGTCCATGCATTTGTCACGTCTAGACTGGACTATTGCAATGGTTTATTATCTGAGTGTCCAAATACTTCTTTAAAACGTCTTCAGTTGATCCAAAATGCTGCTGCCAGAGTCTTAACTGGAGTTACTGGGAGAGATCATATCTCTCCAGTTTTAGTTTCTCTCCATTGGCTCCCTGTCAAATCCAGAATAGAATTCAAAATCTTACTTCTAACCTACGAAGCCCTCAACAACCTAGCTCCATCTTATATTACAGATCTTATTGTTCCATATTTTACTAACAGAGCACTTCACTCTCAGACTGGAGGATGGATTGGAGACCTGTCCAGGTGTCCCTGTGATGGACTTGAGACATGTCCATGTGTCCCTGTGATGGACTGGAGACATGTCCAGCAGTGGTGGGATGTAACTAAGTACAAATACTTTGTTACTGTACTTAAGTACATTTTTCATGTATCTGTACTTTACTTAAGTAGAGTTAAATGTGGGTACTTCATACTTTTACTTCACTTCATTTTACATCAAGTATCTGTACTTTCTACTACACTACATTTCTATAACGCGTTGCATTACAAGTTACATTCATGTTGCTGCTTTTTGATTTATTTGTTACTTTGAAAGTAACCGATGGTGAGAGGGGAGCTGGTCCATTGAATCACTGTAAAGTGGGCAGGTAACGTTAGACCCGCCTTCAAGAAGATCTGGGCCAATGACATGAATTCTAGTATACATGTCACTGAGCTGGGTGCACCTGCAGCACCTCTACACCCAAAATGTATTCCACCGCAAGAGAGTCACCCAGAAGATACACACCACCCATGTCATTGAAAGACTGCTCAGTACAACAGGACAGATTCTCTCTCCCATAAGAACCAGACTGGACTCAAAAATCTTTGAAAACCAACTTCTTCTGAACTTGAACAAGAAATTCTTGCTGCAATATTAAAATGTGTCAGTTCATGGATGTTAGGAGACGAGAGATGTCTCCAAATGTCTCGACACTCAGGTCCAAGTTTTAAAAATGGTGTCAGGAAGTTAAAATATTGTTCAATATTGACCCATTACAAGGTTGAATAGACATATTTAACTGGAGTTGATGACAAACTGGAGTTGAAATGATCAGAGCCTGTTCCTTTGTTAGTTGTGTCTAATGCTCCTTTTGTTCAGGCAGACAGCTTTTACTTAAATGTGTTTACTGCAGTTAAAATGACACATTGGTTTTGCTTTGTGTTAAATAAAAACTTTCAAAGGTATAATCATTCCTCTTTTTATTTTGATGAATGACATTTAACTCTGCAGGTCATCCCTGAAATTCTGACACAGAATCACGTGTCCAAGTGTGAACTGTGTCACAGAGTAAACACAATAAAAACATGTATTATCTGCAGCATCGTTCATTAAAATGGCTCAACACTATTAATGTATTACAGAAAATATACATATGGTACGCAGACTTAAAGATATGTAGACCAATGCATTATGTAATACATTCAGGAAGTACTTTTACTTTTAATACTTTAAGTATTTTAAAAGCAAGTACTTATTTACTTTTACTTAAGTAAAAAATGTTAATGTGGTACTTCTACTTTTACTAGAGTACATTTTTGTCTGTTTATTTGTACTTTTACTTAAGTACAGTGTTTGAGTACTTTCTCCCTGGTGTCCAGGATGTCCTGTGATGGACTGGAGACATGTCCAGGTGTTACCCACCTCTCGCACAGTGACTGCTGGTCTGGATATTGGCACCAGTGACCCCCATGACCTAAAAAGGAAAATGTGGGTAAAGATAATGGATGGATGGATGGATGGATGGATGGATGGATGGATGGATGGATG